GCAACAGTCATGTTGACTCACGGCGCTGAAGTCCCAAGCATCGTGTTTCGACACGATTGACAATTTCAAATGGTTGTCTTCCAGTGGGGCTCTGACTGCAATGAAAATAGATGCTTGCAGGGACCTGTGAAGAGGGAACTTTAAGGGAGAGTGGAAGGGAGCGTTGATTGCCACATCGTTGATGCGTCTTAGGGCAAAAACTGTTCCTCCTCCTTATCCTGTTCCCCCTCCTCCTCCTCCTCTTCCTCCTCATCCTCCTCCTGATCCTGCTCCTGCTCCTGCTCCTGCTCTTGCTCCTCCTCCTCCTCCTCCTCCTCGCTCTCATTCCCCATCCTAACCTCGCCCGCCACGCGCCTTTGCTTCCCAAGGGAGGGGCAGCGGAGGGGGTGGGGCGAGCCAGGCACGGCGCATGGGGCCATGAAGCAATACTCCCTGCTCCCCGTCACCCTCCGTCTGACCCCTTCCTCAATCCTCCCCCCTTCTCTCTTTCTCTCTCTCTCTCTCTCTCTCACTCTCTCTCTCTCTCTCTCTCTCTCTCTCTCTACGTATGTAGATACAATCCCCAAACAGTGCTTTCACTTAGGGGTTCTTACGTGTCCTCGACGGAACTGGGCCGTGTGGTCAGTCTGGCGGCTATGTCGCCGCCGTCGCCGCCCCGTCGCCGCCGCCCGTCGTCTGGGCCGTGCGGCCGGCCTGGCGGCTATGGTGTCGCCGTCGCCGCCCCGTCGCAGCCTCTTCGCCGCCCGTCGCCGCCGTTGGATTGCACCACATAGATTGCACGAACAAATCGCGCTTGTGGCACTTTTTATCGCTCACAACACAGGTTGCGCAAAATGTTTATGCATCTATAAACTATATAAATGTGTCTGTACTGCCCAACATCGATTGCACCAGGTAGATTGCACCACATAGCTGACCCAACCACAAAGATTGCACCATACATGTTGCACAGCCTACACTGCACCACATATATTGTACAATATAGATTGTACAACATGTACTGCACCACATGCGTTGCACAACCTATATTGCACCACATGTATTGCACCACGCTCCGCATAGATTGCACACCATATATTGTACCACATAGATTGCACAACATACATTGCACCACCTAGATTGTTCAGCACAGGCTGCACCACACAGATTGCTAGAAACACAGCGTTTGGGGCCCACACTGACTATATTATACATCTGTACACATATGTACACACATATGTGCGTGTGTGTCTCTCTACCTCTATATTTCTCTCTCTCTCTCTCTCTCTCTCCTCATCCTCCTCCGCCTCATCATCAGCATCATCAGCATCATCATCAGCATCACCAACAGAATCAGCATCATCAGAGCAGTAGCCGCCTCATCATAAACAACAACAGCGACAACAGCAACAACATCAACAATAATTTTAAGACTGCTCGCCCTTATATGCTCGAGTGTCCAATAACGCGTATTTCCCAAACCCTCGATACCCGCCCTCTTCGTCTTCGATCGAACCCCTTTTGGGTGGTATACCTTTCTTCCCTGCAGGCCAGGCCCCGGCAAGCGGCGGGGCGGCCGCGGACCGTCGGCCTGGCCAGCGGCAGCGCTGATCGGCGGGGAGGCCGCGGACCGACGAACCGACCCCAAGAGGGACGGACAGGGGACCGACCACGACGACGACGACGACGACGACGACGACGACGACGACGACGGCGACGACGAGCGAAAGCGAGAGCGAGAGAGAACGACAGCAGGGCCACGAAGGGCACGAAGTTGGCCACGAGGGGCGACAGCGGGGACACGAAGGGAATGCGTATGGGGCCACGAAGAGCGCGAGCGAGCAGGGGCCACGAAGTGCAGATAATGCGGGGCCACAGGAGGCAACTATGGGGCCACGGAGGGTAGCAACTGGGCCACGTAGGACAGTGAGGGGGACACAAATGGCGACAACGGGGCCACGAAGGGCATGCACATGGGGCCACAACGGGCGCGACTCCTGGGTGCCTGGGTGTCGGGAGCGCGGCGCTTGGGCAAATCGCAGGAAATTCCAACGCAAGGCCATTCTTCAGTAAGTTGCAAGCAAATCTCCAGCGAGAGCGAGACTCCAGAGCGCCGGGAGAGCGATTCCTTAATAAATTGTACAGAAGTCCCAAGCGAGAGCGCGATTCCTGAAAAAAATGCGCGGAAGTCTCGAGCGGGAGCGGGGGTCCTGGCTAAATTGTAAGGAAATCTCAGGCGGGAGCCGTTGTTGTTGTAACCCGGGGGCCAGGGGCACAGTTTGAGCAGGAAGACTTTCCCTGTCAAAAAAGAGGGTGCGAGCGTCGAGGGGCACACTTTGATTTAGAAAAAACAGTATGCACCGGTGGGGGGGGATCAACAATAATTATTCTTCAGACATGTCTTCAGAAATGAGATCATCATCATCATCATCATCATCATCATCATCATCATCATCATCATCATCATCATCATCATCATCAATCATCATCATCATCATCATCATCATCATCATCATCATCA